ATTTTGATCTATTTTGAATGGCGTGACACTGAAAACTATCTTATCCAATATGTTGATAACAAAAAAACTTGAAGAATAAGCATTTGCGTACAAGTATGGCAAGTACGTAGCCGTTTAATAGGGGAAGGAACAAGTGTGACGCAAGGTTCTGGGCCTTCCATGGAATTCCTATCAACAAATTTCCTACAATCAGCCTCCACACAAACATACGCTCTCCCATGCCTAGACTGTTGAGTTTTAGGACACAGGAATTAGAATTTTGGTTACGCATAGTTGATAATGACCAGCATGAAGAACAGAGACAAAGAGAGCTTTAATTGAAGTTTCTTCTTGTTTTGCGGAGGAAGCAAATAGAATGGTAGCCGTAGTAAAATTCATAAAATTTGTTTTTGTGGTGTTTTATCGTCAAAGTACGGCATAGGAAAATTTCAGCTTCGCCACCCCTCCCCGGCCCACTCCCCACTCCCCACTCCCCTCACATGCACTTCATAGCTATTTCCCAGTGATCTTTGCGAGTGTAGTTCGTCTCCGCCATATTGGCACGTGTGCAAGAAAACTAGTGGAAAATTGAGGTTATGGCAATTTCGAAGGTTTGTTCTTTGTTTTTAAACGGCTTAAACCAGTGATATTACTTGATCTGGGTCATAAGCTAACTTTCTTCCCTTTTTTGCCTATCGGAACCAGGAGATGAAATGTGGAGACGTGTTTGTTGACAACTTGTGAGGACCGTCCCTGGACGAAGGTAAGCGCGCTTAGAAATTGTTTTGCGTCACCTTACAGTTTGGTTAGATAAATACTTGAATAGATACTGAAATAGGACATAATCGTCGTATGTGTATCCATCAGAGTTTTTTCTTCTTTTAAGAGGCACATAAACTGAGAAACATGTAGCGCAAAATTTCTGTGGGCCACTCCATTTAATCCGCCCTCCGCCCCACCCCCTCTATTGAGGAGCTTTAAATTTTACTCCCTTGGAAAAGTTAATTTTTTACCCCCCATGAAAGGAAGATCAAAGTGCTAACACACTTTCAGAATCTATTAAAAGATTGAAGGTGCCGACACAGCTACCCATTCAGAAACGACCTTTAAAGACTCCTCCCTCTCTCTCAGATTTCTTAGCACCTCAATAGGGGGCGGGGGGCGGGGGTGCAGATAAAAAATGGAATGGCCCCTTGGATATCCTCATTTGAGATGGATTCTTAGTTTTCAGATAAATTAGCTTGGGAAAATCAAAAAAGAAGGCTATTTCTTTTTGACAGAAGTTTCTAAATTATATTTTGTGTACAAATATCAGATATGTGGATCACAGTTATGCCATGCAGCCACCCCCTTATGTAATTTTCCCCACATATAAGGATGACAGCTTCAATGCTATCTCACCACCTCCACTGTATGAAGTGGAAGTTGTTCTGAGAACAACTACTGAGGATGATGAAAGTGTTGTTGGTAATGAGAATGGTGACGACAGCAATGATGATGATGAGGAGGAAGATGATGATGATGATGAAGATCTGGATCCCCATTGGTTACCTGGTGAAGAAAAATTTACTGATGACGACAATTTATTGCCTGAAGATAAAAATGATGGGGACCGTACATCCAGCATGCCCGACTGTGAAAAGAAATACCTGGTATTTGATTCACGTCTGAATAAGTTGCTAAAAAGGTGTCCAGACTGTGGAGATGTCATAATACAACATGAGAGGAAAACAAATGGTAGCATGCCATCAATTGAGTTAACCTGCCACAGTGGCCACACCACTTATTGGGCTTCACAGCCAATGGTGAAAAAGAAACCCTTAGGTAACCCGTTGATGGCAGCATCCATTCTGTCCACTGGGAACACATTTGCTGCTATCAGTCGCTTTGACTCATCTTTCAATCTTCAGTTTTTTAGCGAAAGAGTTAATTACAACACACAACAAAAGTATTTGATTCCTATTGTTAATGAGACATGGGAGGCTGAAAGTAGATGCCAAATTGAAAAGCCTAAAGGGAAGGCAGTTGTCAACCTTGATGGTGATGGCTGTTGTGACAGTCCAGGACACTGCACCAAATATAGCACCTACATGGTAATTGATGATGACACTGGGGATGTAGTAGCATTTAATGTTGTTCAGGTTTCAGAGGTCACTCCTCTAATGCTATGGAAAAAGAAAGCTTTTCCAGGTGCATAGAAATGCTGGAAAGTAAAGATGTCACCATAAGTAGGATTGCAATAGACCATCATGTGCCCATCAGCAGTTCCATGAACAAAGACCACCCAACTATTAATCACCAGTATGATGTTTGGCACCTCTCTAAGTAGGTGGTCTGGTGCAACCTGCAATGGTAGTGTGGATCATTTGCGTGAAAAATGGAAATTTGTGTTGAATCACACTACCAACAAACATAAGTGGTCAGGGAACACCCACTTTCATGAGTGCAGTCACAGGCACATTTCATCCTCTGAAGCTAAGAGAATCTGCTGGCTCAAACTAGGTACCCCGACTCAGTTAGCTTTGGAGGAAGTGGTCCTGAACACTACGCTTTTAAAAGATCTGGCTAAGCTTACTGACTTCTGCCACATTGGCACACTCAAGGTCTATCACTCAATGATGCTCAAGAACTTCTCAAAAAGGGAACATATTTCGTACCAGAGCATGGTTTCCAGGACTCAACTTGCAGCACTTGACAACAGTGCAAACACTGGCCATAATCAAGCTCGAGTACAGGCAGAAGAACATGCAGGCAAGGCATGCTACAAGATGTGCTTTCCAAAAGCCCATAAGTGATGGGTTGTCAAGCCCATCAGTGAGAAGAAATCATACAATTATTTGTCAGGTATGATTTCAGAATTTATCAAGCGGTGTGAGGAAGGGAATGCAGTTCCCAGCCTTTGCCTGTTCAGCTACCAAAGAACATTGCTTCAGAGCCAGCACCACTTAAGGCAGACTTGATACAACAACATCAGTCAAGATTTAGCTAATGAAAATAGTGTTATGTAGCTTTAGAAGTAACAGTTATTTTTTCTTCGTAATTAATTTTGGAGAATCTTGATATTGAAGAATCATTATCCAATTTAGTCTTTGACCCTAACTGGTAAACATAATACATAAAAACCGATAAATATTCTAGTATACATCAATGCCAAAAGAAAAGTATTTTTTCGGGAACAAGTAGTCAGTTAATTTACCAATGAAAGTAATATATACCCATTGAGAAAATGAAAACATGAACAAAATGACGCCCATTCACTGGAAACAATAAACGTATATATGGTACGGTGTATATGAGAGAGGCCTAAGTAAGTAATCAGTAAATATTTATATATTATTTCAACATTTTCAACTTGTAAACAGTTTTATGGTAAATCCAGATCACTCATCCCCATACCAAAACCCTTCAAAGGCAAACTCTTCTTCTGGCTCAAGTGGGGGATAGAAGTTACGGATGCACATAATGGCCCAAGATGGAAGAAACACCCTTATCTCTTTCCCTAAAATTCCCCAGCACCATCAGGCCAGTTGCCTGTAGGATATATGTCTAAATAATTTATGTTCTGGCCCATCATAAGGATAAGGATAAAGATGTATTGCTGCTTGTATTGAAACCAAGCAGTCCTGCAATATCCGTCTATTGATACAGACTGGATGAAACCCTGGGTGTTGGGTTATACATGTAGGCTCCTCTTGGCATTTGCCACTTGCGACTGTCTCAATATTTTTATTTTTTACTGCCTCAATTTCTTGGCAGCAAATACATGCCTTCACTCATTCCATAATCTGGCAATTCTCACATGAACACCTGAATTATAAACAAAAACGCAATATCACATTGCGTTGTGTTCACCAAAAAAAAAGGATTTAGACTAGTGCATAAACCAAACAAATTAGCGGTGTAGAGTTGGTGAAGCCAGCGGCACTGTAAACAAATTCGTATTTTTTACGAGTTAAACATGTATTTCAGTAACATTCCTGAAAGTTCCTAAAGTTATTATTGATCTATGTTGTAGTCGAAAACATAACCAGTTGTTACAACCAGACCGAGAAGGAAATTAAATCGTGCTCCCAGAGTTTTATTTTTTGGTTGATCTGCATATAAAACATAAGCAGAAAGTGACACCACTGTAAACAAAGAGTCTTAGATTTTTTTTT